CACGGAGCTGACTGAGCGCCTCCTGCCCCCCCGAGGCAGGATCGTGCTGTTATCACGGCTGCAAACGGGGCCCTGAAGAGCTGGATCATTCATCCCAGGGGCAATGCACAGCACTAAAACTAAATACTAAAGAAGTAGGGGGGGTTCCACCCTGCAGTCCAGTGGGAACTTGTGTCGTGTTCTCCTCCTCCCTGAGCTCTGAACACACAGACACAGCTACAGCACGAACCAACGGCCAGAAACTGAACCAGAATCTCCCGTGTTTCAACCCAGGACTTCAACAGCACCGGTCAGGAGACTGAGCTACAAACGCGAGCAAACCTTCTCGTAGTTGGTGTATCCCCCCATGACTGCTGGGTCCACAATCCCGTTCAGGAGCATAGAGAGGGGGTGCACAGGAAGACTCCGGTCCCAGATATGCTGTTGGACAATGTTGCTGATTTTCTCATTGGTTAGCTCCATCGTTTCTATGGCGTTCTCCAAGGGGCTGATCTCTTCCTGACGGAAACAGGAAACACAATAAACCTTATTCACCTCTCCTGAATATGGAGTTAAGTAACTCCACATACATGAACGGCAGCCCAGTCATTTCCGTCAGAGGATCCTGCCCCTTGTGCTAACTCTCCTGCCATTCAGAGATGAACCCAAGAATGACCTTACACCTTAACCTGAAGGAACAACAGTTTAGGGCTTGGCTGCTGACTGCGGAGTAAGTTACACAAGTAACCCCTCTCCCAAGCATCACAAAACTCTGCTGCCTTGGGCAGAGGGGTCTGCAGAATGGCAGGAAAAGACAGTGACGATACACACGTGCTTTTACCTGAAGCAGAAGTTACCCATGTGCCATACACAACAGTGCAAGGACCACTAGTCCTAACTGTTCCAAGACTCCACTTCCTGGGAGATTGGAGATAGGAGAACCATATGCAGAACTCACCGTTGTAATCTGTTTGACTTCAAACCACTTGAGGATGCCTGGAAATGAATACGCTGTTGTGTAGGTTGTCCTTTCTATCCACATATTCTAGTTAGAGAAGGAAAAAAAATTCCAAAATGTAAGGAAAATACTGGTCTTGCAATTCAACTTCCTGCTGCGGTAGAGGATGGAACCAGGCTCCCAGCACTAGCTGGCAGAACTTACACAAGGAATTTCACCTTCACTAACTGGGATGAAACCCTGTGCTTTTGGCAAGAAAAACACCACCTCTACGATTTGAATGGTATCGACAGTAGCAGCAGCAGGCGGTGAGCCTCCACGTGGACCATGATTAGCCAGACTGCGCTCACGGCCTGTTCAGCCCGAGTTAACACAATGTGCAAGGCCCGCTCTCCATATCAAATCTGAAAAGCTGGCCTGCAGCAGAACAGATCCTTCCTGGTTAGAGGCTGGCCTCCTTACGGACAGCTACATCCCTCTCAATCTACCAGACATGCTGTACTCTGTAGGACGCTGCAGCCAGACAGCACAACATGTATGGATCAAGGGTTTTGAACATTACAACTTCAGCTACAGTCCCTCGAGGTTCTCACCCTGGCTTTAGGTAAAGGTTGCAGTGTGAAGTGCAGCCCTCTTTCTCCTACGTGTCAGTAGCAAAACTCCATTGCCCCAAGTGGAGGGAAAGGGAGATAATTGTGACAGTTGTTCAAAGTGCCACCAACACAATAAATAAAGGCACAGAACCATTTTTCACAGCACAGACCCCCAAGACAACCGGCACCAAAAGCAAAGGACTCACAGCAAACTCGTTGTCTGGATCTTTTTCTCCTTTCCTGACTGGTCGGGAGTGGGTGAACTGCTGTACCTCGTTTGCTCTGTAGTAGCTATAAAGAAGCAGAGGAAATGGTGAGCTTTTGCACCTCCCGCCCTCCTTACATAAATGTTTCTTCTGTTTCCTCTCAAAACCAACCAAGTTTAAACTGGACTGCGAAACATTTACACAAGACACAAAGGCACGCCAGCTTGTGCCTAGGTTAGCAGAGGAAAGTACAGAGGAAATGTTGAGGGAAAAAGGAAAATAAATTACTTCAGTATCTGTTCAGGAACAGGTTTATCTTTGTAATTAGGCGGCAGGTTCATCACAGGCTTCACAATAAAGCACTGCACATCTGAGCAGCTAGAGTTAAGGATGAAAAACTATGAATTCTTTTGGGAAAACAGGAGACGGAGAGAAATACCCTTCCCAGTTTTATACAATGTCAGCCTTCCCAGCAATTCCCTCTGCTCTTGTCATGCATGAAGAAAAATACTCACTAGTTCATCAACAATCAGGCATTATATTGCTCCTTGTAGTTTGTATGCTACTCGTGAACTGAAAGCCCTAAAAGATAAGGGCTCTGCAAGTACTTCCAACTACCGAAATTCCCTGGTGAAATGCTTGGGAAGTCTGGGTGCTACCGATTTCTACTTTGGGGACAGGAAAACAAGACCCTGCTCTAGGTTTTGTAATGGATGCATTGGTCTCTCCTCTCTCCCCATCCCACCTACAGTTATTTGTCAGATCCTTCTAGTACCGTGGAGCTGCCCCTCTCTCCCTCCCGTGTTTTAGATCAATAAAGCTAATTAGGGTTAGCTAAGAAGCAAGCAGAAGAAGCAACTGAAGAAAGCAGCCTGCTTTTCACCAGTATCTGCTTCATCCTCAGCTTTTGCAGCTGTGAGCCACGATGGCCATAAAAAAATAGGAATAGTGTCACCAAGAACAGCAGCTTACGATGCTGTTCCTCCGAGTTCTGTTCAAAGGACTGTACTGGAGGCTTTACAGAAGTCAAAACCTGTAGGCAGAAGGAAAGCCTAACCGCTTCGACCTGCATTAATAGGTTATTCCTGTGAATCACCTGCCAACTGCACTCTGAAGGGAGTAGGTTTTACTGGTGGGTAGGGCAGCCCCACGCATCCTTTATTTCACCAAGGGTGGTTCTAATCAGTACTTTGAAAGCAGAGGCAAGGTCACTGTGCTTACAGTGAAGAGCCAGCTGGAAACCAGCCAAATCTGAACCCAAAACCGCACAGCCTCAGTAGATCAAGCACTGAGCCCCAGCTAATATATCCTCTCTCTCAGGAGAGCTTATTAGCTTGGGCTGCATGCCATGCTAAGCACGCTACCCGGCTCCTGCTCGGGGACGGGTGGACGAGTGGCCTGTGCGAGTGTGTGGGCATTCCCCGAGACTGTGCACAGCCCACCGGGTACCTCCGGCACACTCTCATGAACCAACAAAGCAAGAACAAGGATTTGATCGTAAAAGAGTGCGGAAACAGATTCTAAGCAAAAGTAAAAAAGACCCTGAGACAAAGGAGGTTAAAAAAGCATGAAATTAAAACAAACTACAGAATCATCAGCCCCTGCCTAACACAACAATGATTTGGGCACTCAAACCCCTCATCTTTTCAGAAGGTTTTTGTAGGAGTGCAAGAAGAACCTGTACCAGATCCAAGCTATGCAGCTGCTCCCCTTTATAATGGGGCTATGCCAAAGACCCGGAACCAAACACCCCCAAACTTTTGGAAGGGTTCAGATCTAGATCCAAATTTTGCAGTTCAGGTTCACCTTGAGCCAAAAACATTAGAACAAACACAAACAGATGCAAAGGAAGTAGCTGAAACAAAGCAGCAATAGAAGAGGCATTTTTTGATACCAAGTTTGGTCTTGACTGAATTTTAATTTCCTATGTGGATTTAGTGCTTGGCAGGCTTTTTGCAAGGGAAGCATCTGGTATCACTGCTTGACTTGTGCCTCTGTGCACAGACTTTTCAGGCCAAAATGGACCCTCAGAGTCTCTAGTGTGGCCTGTGTAACCCAGGCTAGAAACCCAGCAACTTGGTTTTTACTGACAGACATCTTCCAGGAGCACCCCCACTACAGACTGGAAGTCACAAACCAGAACCTGAAGCATCTTCACTAGGTTGCACTTGGTCGTGCTCACAGTGAAGAGGATGTCAAGCCTAGAGGTGTGCTGTGACACAGAGTCTGGAGTTCCACCAGCATAAAAAGATAAGATTTTTAAAAAGGCTGTTCACCCAACACCTTCCATCATCATCATCACTTCACACATTTTACAATGACTTCGGGGGGGAGGGAGGGGGAAAAAGGCAAACAAAAAAACCCCTCACCAGCCACTTCATAAACCCTCATTAACTGGGAGCAAGAAGAGAGCATACCTCCACTTTCTTTACATCCCACTGCCTGTATTTTACCTCTTTCACCTAGAAAGACCAATCTGGATCACACGTATGCTACAGCCGCCAGCACCACCTGCTTGAGAAGGCGGCACGAGAAATCCTGACCTGCAATCTGTTAAGGTTTCATCCTAACAGCAACTCATTTCACTGACGACATCCAACTGTCTCCCTTTTTCACTCCAAGTTCACTGTTGCAGTTCTGGATAGTCTTACTGTCATGCCCAGCGCCCGCCTTCACAGCTCCCCTGCAGCAGGAAGTTCCTCGCTTACTACTGCTGTTCACCCATTCTGTTATTCTAGCAAAGAGACAGATCTTGAACGTGCCAAAACGCACTAAACCGAAAGATACGCTGCTTGGGAGAAGACTTGATGTCCTCTCCTGGAGGGGCAGTGCTGGTCATCTTCTCAGCACTGGGGAACTGCGTCAGCAGCTTCAGGTTGAAGTCCTCCCTCCGCTCGTACTCTTTGCCACGGTAGATAAAAACCTTATTCTGTGGGCAGGAGAGAGAGAGAATGAACACTAGACACAGCAGCGAGACAGCTTTCCAAACATTCACAGAGCGGTCCCGGAGATGCTCCTGGAACGAGTTAAGCGAGGGGTCTCCCCTGGCACAAAGACCCGATTTCACCTCCGTTCCATTCCCAACTCTCCTCAGGTACCGTTCACAAAACAGCCAGCTCTGGCAGTTCTGCACTACAGGTTTAGCAGTAGCCACGGCCAGTTATTTCCCAAACTGGCCACCAAGCAGTGGTGGTTTCTGGAATGGATGGATTCAAAAACATGACCTGCAGGGGACAGGCTTCTATACCGTCCAGTTACACAGCTCTGCGGTAACTATGTTTTATTGAGTCTGGCTTCCATTTAAGGCCAGCAACTTCCAACCACTCCAGTCTGAAAATGTAAGCGTTACTTGATTTTACATAAGTCGGGAATATTTGCTAGCATGCTGCACCCTGCCCATCTGACTCACTCTGGCTGGATCCCTGTATTATGGCTAGCACAGGTCCAGCACCGCTTAGCGCCGAGTCTCAGACAGGAAGCGTCTTTGCGTTTTAATTCGTCTGTGTGGGACAGACTCTCACTAATGTGCTTGTGCATTGAAATGATCCATGTCCTGAAAATCAGGTCGATTCAGGCTGAAAAGCAACGGGATAAATTCTTTGCAAGCTAAACCCTTTCTAACGGCAGTGCTCGTGTTTCTGAGGAAGCAGATGGGGTACAAATACAAAAGGTGCATCTGTTTAAGTCCATATAAGAACACACCAGTCATCTAACAAACACGCTAACTTTATTAAAGCTGGTAACACTCCAAATCTGGTCTCTTGTCTCTTTTTACACAGTGAAACGCTTCAAAATGCTTAAGGGACTTAGATCTCAGTGTCATTCAAAGGACAAGGAGATTGGCACCTGAACTTTCTCAAAGTTCTGCAAAAACTGTGACTTTTAGGATACCCACCACACGCCAGAACCTGACTGCTGAAGAATTCTTACCCGGAGGAAAGAGGGGAAACCCTGCCCGTAGTATCCAACAGCGAAGTACTCTGGTTGGGGTCTCATTGCCTTCATAATATTCTCATAAAAAGTAGCTCGTTTTTTCTGAAAAAGAAGAGTCACCAGCACTTTCACTGTGGAGTATTCCAGGGCACTGCCAGGCTGTAGCTCACATTCCCAGAAACAATTCCTCAGCTCTGAGCTCTCCCCTACGGAACACTTCTTACAACTGTTTTTTTTTGATACAGTATCTCACTCTTATCCATTTACTTGGTTAAATATTTGGTTTGTCTGGGCCAGAATCAACTTCATCTCCTGGTCTGCAGACACGAGAACCATGCCATGTTTTTTGGGATTCCAGGAGGACACTTGAAATCCTTAACTACTGCAACACAAATTAAAAACAAATATGTTCTGAAACCGAGCAGACCCAAATGGTGACAAATGTCAGAGAACTGGCAGGGGTAAAACTGGGCAGATGAGTCTCATATGAAGGAACATAAAGACCATCTGGTTACATCTTCAGCCACTGAAAAACATAATTCAGAACTGAGATGATACCATAGTTCTGTGTTCACACAGGAGTTTTATCACGGAAATAACAAGGTGATGACATTTACGGAGCCTGAAGATACACCACGCAAACGTTACCTTATTCAATTAACACCAAGAATGCTAAACATGCGCACACAATATCATTATGCTAATTACAAGGTCAAAACCACACACTTAAAAAACATTATGGAAACATTCTTCTACTATCAAGCTTTACAAAACCACGGGTGTTATGTTGGCTCATTTTTCTTTAACATACATGTATTTTGGACTGATCCTGCTCAACCATATTAATTTAGGCAGTCGTCAGCCTGCTGAAAATAGAGGAAAAAAAAAAATCTTACCAGGAGATTACCAAGTCCCTCGTAATCAAAGACCTTGTTTTCATACATGTCAGCCAGCTCTTTGCTTAGCTGAATGGCTTTTTCCCACATCTCCATGGAGGGCGAAGGGAGGCAGATGGGGGAAGAGGAGCACAAACAAAATAACAGACTCAGTTAAAAGCATTCATTACCAGAGATAGGTAAACAAAAAATTCAGCTGATTTTCATTCAGGCAGTACTTTCATGCCTTGCCAACTCTCCCTCAGCCTCCATGCTGTGCATTTTTTGCAGTAATTATTATCGCCACCCAGCTCTTTTGATTCATAGATCTGAAAGTGATTCACAAAGCAAGGCTTCTATTGTTACTGCTGACAGAGAACTGAGGCACAGAGAGGTGGAAGGACACGTCCAAGCCCAGGTGCTCTGCTCCTACACCAGCTCCTCACCCCCTGCTGCAGGCTTCCTTGGGTTTGTCGCATGTAGCCTGGTAGGACGACCTACCCAAAGTGCAACGAACACGAGTTCGGTGTCGGCCAGACGAGCCAGACTAACGGCAATGAAAAAAACCTGGCAGCAGCCGTTCCAGAGCAAGCCAGGGAAACACCTACGGCGTCCTCATCTAACCAGCAACACGAATAGGGTTCATTTTTCAGCTGCTCTTTAACTAGAAGGATTCAAATATCACCAGGACAAAGACGTGCCCTCCTGATGCTGGTACTGTGGCACCCATCAAAAATCCAGGCCTGAGCATCAAAGGCCTGTTATGGAATCACAATGGCTTTTCCCCTCGAGTCCAACCTCGGCCAGCTACACCCACCAAGGCAGGATTTGCCAACAGACAGTAAGAGTGCTGCAGAGACTCACCTTGCCCCTGTCGAAGAAGGAGATAATTTCTTGGTAGAGTTTCTCCTTAAGCTCCTGTTGTGAGTAGACATAGTAGCTGTCCCTCTGCAGAAGGTGAGGGACACATGGCTTCTCAGACCACTGGAATGGGAGGAAAGAGGCAGAGCTGGAAGAACTGGAACATTTTCAGATTAACAAGTCCTTACAGTGGGCAGACCCACCTTCCGCAGGGGTACATTCAAGGCAGAGGGAAGGCAAGGAAGTCCTCTACAAGCAGAGTTGGCTGACTAACGCCAACTGGGAACGCACACACAAACTGCATCTTGGCAGCACGGTCAGAGTAACAAGTAGCCAGGATGCAGTAACTTCTTAAACACTCCAGAAAAGCACCTGATTACGCCCTCACCGCACACCCAAGCCACCAGAGAGCTTCAGTTCCGTGCAAAGTCTTTTCAATGCTGGAAATTAATTTTAAATCAGTTTAAGAAGTCATCTGAACTTGTACAATATTTATAGCTGGATTTAACAATCACTTTAAAATGATAATGGGAGTTTAATTATATCTGCAAAACTGGTGTGATATTGACTTAAGGTCTTACGTGGCGACAGTAACTGCATGTGTAAGCTTTATTCATCTGCTGAAGAGGTTGACAAATCCCAATTAAGATGGTTTAGGCTAATGCATTTTACACTGTTCACACAGAAGTGGAAAACCCCCTGTACTATGACTCTGTCCCAGCTCACTACAGCACCCTTTCACCAGCAGCACGTAACAGGCCCTAATAACAGTTTGCTTTCATCCCTTTAGCTGCTGTACAATTTGCAAAACCGTGAGGCTCCTTAATGACCCTGAGAACCTACGTAATGCAAAGTCACATTAGAGTAAATTGTTCATTCTGAGCTGCTTGCACTTCACTTAAACCCCACACCCTGGCAGAGGCAACTAAAGCTGGCTTTAGTGTAATACCTGGAGCAGCTCTGCGTGGAGGAGGAGAGTGTACGCTGCCTCTGTGAAGTTCTCACAGTCTGTGTGCAGGTCCCGGAGTTTATACAGATACCTAAAGGAATAAAAAGCAATTGTTCCTTGACGTGAAGGACTCCTGGACTGACAAACAGACCACCACGAGAAACAAAGGCTTCCATACAGGTTTAAGGAGGAAAACAGCCTACCTGATGTAAATGTCCTCTCGTTTCTTCTCCTTATAAAAATTCTGCCAAGAACACAGAAAAATCAACCTTTTACAATGTAAAGCGCCATGGATTTGCATAACCATCTCTGGGCAAGTAACTCAAGCATCACTTTTAGATATTTCAAGGATCTTGGCTGTCATTTTGCCTGCTGAGGTGCATATATCCCTGCACCCATCTGTTTAACATGAGGTGGGGCTACTGCCACCTTTAGAAAAGAGGTGAGTCAAAGAAAGTTACACAGCTCTTACAGTGGAAGAAGGACTTAAGTCCACATTTCCCCAACTATCACCTTTCCTGCCTGTATCTCAGGGCTTCAGATTACCATGTGGACAAGGACCAGCCATGTGACTTGACTCTTTCTACATTTTATGGCAGTCAGTGATTTGGGCCAATCATTAACCAGAAATGGCATGAAAAATTACTTAAAATCCTGCCAAAACAAAGAAGTCCTTCAGAAGCAGTAAGAGCCTGGTCAGTAAAGAAGCGTGGGGACCCAAAGCCAGCCCCCCCCATACCAGCACGTTGACGGTGCAGCTCATGCGGTTCTCCTTGCTTTCGTCATGCATGATCGTCCTGTAGTCCAGCAGGTTCTCCAGCAGGCTGCTGACCAGCAAAGCAAACACTTCCCCGGAAGCAGACAGGTATTTATGCTTCCGACAGTGTTCCAGGAGGCTGCAGATACACCCAGAGGCAGAAAGAAGTACTCGGTTACAGTTCTGAGCAGCGCAGAACTTCAGTGTACATGACCCAAAGAGCCACTTCGCTCTCTGAGCCCAACGCCTATCCTGAAGGGAGCTGAGCAGTGCCGAGTGGCATACCACCCCCGCAGCCCTGAGACAGCCCAGCCACGCGGGGTAAAGCCGGATCAAAACCTGTGTTCTACTCCTGGTACTAAAAGGTGGCTCTAGTTTTGCTTTAACTCCAAGCCTGGTGTTCCCAAGCTTTTCCACTTACAACCCCCTCACCAGGTGGGCACCTGCCTCCAGGCTTTCACCTCTGTGTTTAGGGCAGTTGTGCAGCTGCTGCTCCAGAACAAAAGCATTGTTTTAGGCAACCGGTCTCAGATTACCTGCGTAGCGTGAGGGTCACCGGCAGCTGCACTGTCTCCCTACTCACTGGGCTAATGAATTCTGGTTTCTTTGCATCGAAAAAATAGCCCACTAAGCTGTAAAAAAGAGCCTCCATGTTCTTTAGAAAAACTTACAGTTTCTCCAGCAAAATCTTGTACTGTTCATCCCCTCGGCCACCCTCCACTTCCTGGTCCAGCCTGGTTATCAACTCATTTTCAAACTGTAAAGGTAAAAACCACAGTTGAGTAGACAGCAACTCCCAAGTGGGTGATCTGAACACCAGTAAAGCTGGTGGCTGATGTTTCTGAGGTGCCCCGCTGTCAGACGCTGGTTTTTAAGCCAAGCTAAAGGATGCTTTCATTGTTGGAGCAGAATAAAAATGGTAGGAAGCCAAAATGGCAAGACTGGAGCAAGGAAATACAAGTCCTCCCTCCCTCATCGTACAGCCGCTGGAAGGCCATGCTCTGGGGTAACACCTCCCCTTCCCTCCATCCATCAGCAGTTCAGTTTGGCTGGGAGGGAGAAGCATTCCAGCAGCCAGCTTAGAGCGCTCCTTCACGCAGCTGAAGAAACTGAGCTACTACCATCAGTTAGAAACTGAGCTACTACTACTGTCGGTTAGACAACTCTCTGGCCACCATAAACACTTGTGAGTGCTGATTAAATCATAGAATCACAGAATGGTTTGGGTTGGAAGGGACCTTAAAGATCATCTGTTCCAACCCCCCTGCCATGGGCAGGGACACCTTCTGTAGACCAGGTTGCTCCAAACCTCATCCAGCCTGGCCTTGGACACTCCCAGGGATGGGGCATCCACAGCTTCTCTGGGCAACCTGTCCCAGTGCCTCACCACTCTCTCTGTGAAGAATTTCTTCCTGATATCTAATCTAAACCTCCCTGCTTTCAATTTAAACCCGTTACCCCTTAAAAAGCAACTTCTCAGGATGCAAGAGCCAAGCCCAGGGTGATTGTCTAGCCACGAAGATACGTCCTGGTGTGTGCAAGCAGGTCAAGTACATAGTCTCTGTTATAACTGTAGCTAGTATCTAAATACCACTGGAATGGAAAATCCATGCCACACACTTCCTTCTACTGATTCCACAAACCCCCGAGACCCTGGGGCCAACCACACCAAAGACCGAGGACCCCAAGGGAAGAAAGATCCTGTGTGCGCGCTGGAGCTGGGGTGAGGATGGTGCTTAGGGAGATGCACGTCACGTTTGACAATGGCCTGAAATGCCAAGGTGGCTGCCTTTTGGATGGATGGCTCCTACCCATCTCCAGGGAGAAGGCTGTCTACAGCATAACTGCAGTGTCCCCTGCCTGCCAGCAGAGATGGTTATGTCTGATATCCCCAGAGGAAAGTGGGAAGAGTAACTCCTTAGAAACTGCAGTGAAAACTTAACCTCAGGGCAAAGCTAAACTCCTCTTTTTCCTTCCTGACTTTCTGGGGCTTCCTCAGTGGCACTAAAAGGGAACTTCTGGAGAAATTAGCACAGGGTTGGGACTCTGAGATCCGGGTCCTGTTCCCTGCTCTGTCCCTTTACTTGTGTAGCCTCAAGCAAATCATGTGTCTCCTTTGTATCACTGTTCTCCCTTCCACAAGGGTAGCATCAGTATTCACAAATGTGTTGTCAAATTCGACGTTAATGAGGGATTAGTCAGTGTATAAACAACTACACGGTCCTAACACTTGACTCTCCAGCAACTTCCAGTTTAGTAACTTACATTTACAGCCAAAGATCTGTCTTGGGGGAAATCTATGTTGTTACACGTGAAAGCAGACACTACTTTTTAGAGCACTCTCTTAGGGTCCCCAAACTGCTTCACAATTTAGATGTGGGTATTCACACATCTGCGAATGCAGAAAGGGATGGGAACAGAGGAATTCATTAATTATCAAAGCCATGCAAAGGTACAGCCAGGGACAAAACTGAAGAGTCCTGACTCATCCAAACCCCTCAACGACAGGTGCCCAAAGCATGTGGCACAACGCACGTTTCGCGTGGGGCTGTTTGTTTTGGTTTTGTTCACATGTTCCCTCCTGCTTCCCACCCAAGGCACACTGCAGAGCGTCTGTACTGAAGACACCAGGCTCCCTTACCATATGGAAGTTTCTGTTCCCACTGAAGTTGAACTCACACTGCATCATATCAAAGAAGATGGGAATGGTAGCTTTGCGTAGCTCCGGCTCGGGGACCAGTGTTACTTCCAGGATTGGGCCCACCATCGCCGGAATGAATTTTATTTTGTGGGGACCTGCAAGAAAGTCAAAGTCAGATACACTCTAACGGCAGGATTTGGATATCCAAACGTTTAAGCATGTTATTCATATAAAGACCATAAACCAGACATTCTGCTCAGATTTCGTGTTTTATGCGGATATGGCTACTTAAGGTACAATTAACCTATTACAGCTCCAAAATTCAGGAATGGCCCAAGAAAATAATTGAACCTAACTGCATGCAATGCTGTGAATCACAAGGTGTCTCTGAGAAATTCTACTCTCGTCCTTCATATGGCAGAACAGCCTTTATCAGAAATCTAAGAAGTTACCTCAGCAGCTGACGTGAGATAGGCTTTTGCAAGCTACGCACCAAAAAGGGAAAGGGATGCCGTGCTCTGAAAGAGCCGAACCTTAAGCGTATTTCCCCATGTTAAACGTGAGCAGCTTTTGTAAAGAAATAAGGGATTTGAAACCCAAGCTTGGAAGCCTGAATAAAGACTGTTCTTTAGCTGGAACTCACCCAGATTATACCACATATCCCTTATTTTGAAGCCAATTTCTTTCCTCATGTCCCCATACCTAGAAAAAAAGTATTAGAAAGATTAAAAAGCCTGACACAATGAAATCACCTTTGCAAAGTTGCTGATGAAATTTCATGGCAAACCCACAAAATCTATTACCCTCTCCTCTAAAAACCCACCACACACAGCTGAACACGGTAGGCATTTATACCAAGGGGTCTCACAGACTATATTCCCTACTAAGGGTCTACTGAGAAGTTCCTCAGTGTTACATACCTTCCAAAAGATGTTCACCTCATCCTTTTGCTCCCTCACCCTGTCCACTATTAATGCTCCATGCACAGAGGAAGAGAACGGCCGTGTGCCACAGACAGACGACTGCAGACTCCCTGAGCAGAACAAAGCTGCAGCCCTGCTGCTTCAGGCAATTCTACCCACAATTTTGTTTTATTTGGTGTTCTTCCCTAAAGCTTTAACTGCTGACACGAACAGAACGCAAGAACATTTAGTTACCAGGCTTCTGAGAGCTGTCGCTATTGCAGAATGAAGAGAACGCAAGAACATTTAGTTCTGAGAGCTGTCGCTATTGCAGAAAAAAGATGGCAAACGTTACGTATGCCCTAAAAAATTCTGTGTCAAGACAATACAAAAATATTTAGGGACTTGATTCCAGCTAAATGCAGAATTAAAAGGTGCTCAGTGTCTTTGTGTGTTTGGCCAAGTTACTAAAAATTACTACTTTTGTGTTGATGAATGACACTGAATTGCTCAAAACAGAAAAAAGCAAAGAGAAGGGGTGCAGGGGTGTCAGGATTCACGCTTTCCTACCTTACACACTGGCTGAGAAACAGCGTAAGGTAAGGAACTATGGCAGGCTTTCTGCTACAGACCTTACAGGGGAAAGAATCTTTTGGCATGGTGCTTAAGTTCAGTTCAAACAACTCAGGATCTGTTGGAGCAGACTCAGACATCCACCGTGCAAAGACCTGACGTCTGTGTCGCCCCTCCTCCTGGTATCAGCATCCTTTAATCAAGCCCTTCCACGGCATGCTTCCTCTCGCGCTGATTGTGCGGGGTATGTCTGGGGCACTACAAATAAAATTTCTGCAAGGTGAAAAAGGCCTGTCAACTTTAAATGTAACTCACTTCTTGATAATTTTGTTGCGCTTGGCTTGCGAGAAGGTCTCCAGCTGGAGGGATTCGTGAGTGAGAAAGGCCACTGCCAATTGGAAATAGTTATTCCAGAGCTGTGGAAGAGAAACAAGTCTCAAACAGGAGAAGACAAAGGAAAAGGAACCATCAGCACAAGAGCCACACGGCCCCAGACTGCGCAGTCTCCTGCTCAGCGCTCACCAGGAAGCGAATGGCCAGGGACCTGGAGAGGAGCCTGTGCTCACCCACCGCGGCAGCCAGAGCCTTGCAGCACTTTGCAACTTGCCACTCCCTCAGCCTGCACTTCCCAGCACAGGAAGTGACAGTGGGTACACCCATACAGTATTTTGTTCTCAACCAGCCAAGCAGAAAGCAGCAGCAGCCCGTGTGCGGCTCAACCTGACCTCGCAAAGCCTGATGCCGGAGCATCTGCTTGCACCTCAGCGCTGCCCTAACCACCCTTGTGAACTCGGAGCTGCTCTCCCGTTAGAGATGTTTTCACATGCATGCTCCACATGAAGAATCCTGCTAGCAGTGGGTTCTGTTTGCTCTTCCCCACTTCCAGGACTGGGGTCCGTAAGAAAATCCAGAAACAATGGAACTGTTACCTGGAGTTCAAAGTTTGCTTGATCCAGAAAGAAACGGTTGAGTACAGAGGTAAACTGGTTCACTGCCCGGAGGAAAACCCTGGAACAGACACAAACATCCAGTAAAAGGTGGCTCTTGAAAAAAGTACCATTGCAGGCCTGGGTTTATGACTCACAGAAGCTCAAGAGACAAGAATAGGTGCTGCCAAACAAGCCGGATATTTCTCTGTAATGCCATTTCGCCTCTTTCCCAGTAGAGGGACATTCAGGGAAAGTTATTCCTCAGTCTCCGAGCAAAATAAACCTTGCCTGGCAGCAGATGAAAAGAACCCAGCACTCTTTCGGCCATCCAATCTCTTTGACAGTGCAGCGTCATTCCAAGTTCAGCCTATCCTCACACCACGGGAGCAGCTGAGCACCAGCGCACCCCTACACCACAGTGGAGCTCCGCTGCCTCCATCTGAGACGACCTGCAGGGCTGTGCCCCTGCAAACAGGAGTTACTTCAGCCAGCCTGGGCCATGGTCTGCTGTCCGGCACAGGACACGCAGCGAGCCAAAGCCGCTCCAACGGTACAGACTTAGCAGGACCCTGTCTCCCACGAGGATAAACAAAGTCCACAGCAGAAGAGAGGTGAACCTG